TATATATGTATCTATATAATTTATATATATATAACATTCGTATAATATGCCTAAAACTTGTTCCATTAGATTTGCATTGCTTAAGACTAGAGGACTGCTTGGCAGGCATGGATCATATTCAAAGGGATTAGAGACTCGGTAAAAAGCATTTGGTATTCCATTATAATATTGAGAAACTATATAGATACTTATGGATATATCACTCACCCATATCATCTATTATAGGTGCCATTCGCAATGTAACGCCGATTAGCATTAGGCACATCAGCAACAAAAGGCAGGCAGTTGCAATGATTGTCCAGCGTGCGCGCTGCGAGAGATCATGTGGATCTATCACCTGTAAGAGGAATGAAATGTACTACAGTTATAAATCTGGCTATCTATCATAAATATGTGTGTTACTTACCTTAACAACTTCATTATCCAAATCCTGCACTAGAATTTTGGGTTTTTTATGACGATGACGTTTTTTGTGACGATGTCTGAAATGGAAAATTGATAGAAAGGTGTTAGAAAGAGAATTTTTGAGATATAATAAGGGAAATGAAGGGGAATGAGGAAAACATAGAGAGAAAGAAAGAAACAGAGGGAGAGAAAGAAAGAGGTAGGGAGAGAGGGATACACAGGTCAAGGCAACAGGCAGGAGAAAAAGCGAGAAAATAAGGGAGTAGGAAAAGATAAGGATATAAGGAAAAGCAAAGGAGAAAGTAGGAATACAGCTTAAGTAGGATAAAAGCTTAATTTCTTCAAAATTTAATGTAGAATATACACATATCCTTACACAAGCCTGCGTCCTGTTTTAAGCATAAGTAAACAGATGATAAAGTATTTACACCTGATAATGAATTCGTTTTAATGACATTAGGGGAGAGTATCGTCTATAACAGCATCGAGCTAAATCAATTACTCAACACCCACACACACACTCACCCATCACACCCTTCCACGCTCACTAAACACACTTGCCTTCCTCCCTGTCCCACTCCCGCCCAGCTGCCATATCATCTCAGCAGCAGCAACAACAGCAACAGGAGTCGCTTAAACATATTTGCTCTATTTCCGTTTGGGTTTTGCAAAAACTTCCGCATTACAAAGCTGACACAATTTCCCCGCTTACTGCATGGCACTCCGCTCCGCTCCGCTCTGCTCCCCTCTTAAACCCAGCTAACCGCCTTCGCTACAAAAACAACATGGCGTCGTCTACCGTTACACGTTTTACAGCGGAAGTGCCTGCTGATGCTACACAAAAAAAAAAAAAAAAAAAAAAAAAAAAAAAAAAAAAAAAAAAAAAAAAAACAACAAAAATGGGAAAAGTGGAAACAAAAAACAAGGCAACATCAGTCTCTGGCAGTCGGTCGGTTGGTTAGTGGGGTTTAGGTTTACGCGTTGGCCAGGTGCTGTCGGCGAATACCGTCGCCATCCGTAACGTATCCCTCTGCCACTCTCTACCTCCCTCGCTAAGTGAAAGCTGTGCCGCACAAAGCTTGTCAATCAATTTTTGTCTGGGTTTTCGAAGTGGGCGAACACCCAATGGGAATGCATTAGCCGATGTTTGACAATCGCTTTGCAGCTGGACACATTTATTAGTGCAGCTCAAGGACACCAAAGGATGTCACTCTACAAACATATTATGTTGCCTTTGTTGTTGCCGCACTGAACAGCTGACCAGCTGACCAATGAACAAATGGCCAACTGTGCAGCTGCCCCAAATGTTCATCAATGTCGTCTAATGCGCATTCATTTATAAGTTCTCTAATCATTTCTTAGCTTGGCCAAATGGCCGTAACGCACAGTGGTTGAAAATGTAGTTTAAGGGCACAAAATCTTTTAAAATTAGTCTAACAATACTGTTTACATAGAAAACATAAATAATTTCAAATATTCGTAAAATTAACAATTCAATGTTTGCCTTTAATTGAGCTCATAACTTTAACAGCGAAATAAAGAAATATTAACAGCACTGGCATGTTAAAAATCAGCAGCTCTGTTAACGCTTTCTCAATTCTATTACAGAGTCTGTTATTGTTTCATTTGAGTTGCTGCTAATAAATACTATTACTATTAATATGTTTTAGGATAATTCTAGCTATGCACAATAATTGATATATAACTATCTATATACAACATTCCATATACAAACATGTTCTTACCAATATACTATCATTTTCTACCAATACTTAAATTACTCAAGCCCCACTGTATCATTGTTTACTGGCAGCTTGATGGACACGTTGCGATAGCATATGGGGACTTACCGATGCTTTCTGCGATGTCGCTGATGACCGCCACCGGGCATCATGTGCTCAAGGTCGTCGATTTTATCAGCGTCAGTGTCCATGTCCAGTTGCAGGTCGCAAGGCGAGTCCTCGGCATTATAGGGGCATTGTCTGCGGGTAATAAATGAGCGTGATGAAAATGACAGGCGACGCTTTTGGTGGACATTTTATACACATATTTATATACATATATATANATTATCGTTAACTAGGCCTCGACCATTGATGGACGTCGCAAGGGCGCCTGCCTGTTCTGCCAGGAGTACTTCATGGATCTGTATCTGCTGGCCGAGCTGAAGACAATCAGTCTGAAGGTGACCACAGTGGACATGCAGAAGCCGCCGCCAGATTTCCGCACCAACTTCGAGGCGACGCATCCGCCGATCCTGATTGACAACGGCCTGGCCATACTGGAGAACGAGAAGATCGAGCGGCACATCATGAAGCATATACCCGGCGGCTACAATCTGTTCGTGCAGGACAAGGAGGTGGCGACGCTAATTGAGAATTTGTATGTGAAATTGAAGCTGATGCTGGTGAAGAAGGACGAGGCCAAGAACAATGCGCTGCTCACCCACCTGCGCAAGATCAACGATCATTTGGCCAATCGCAACACTCGCTTCCTGACGGGCGACACCATGTGCTGCTTCGACTGTGAGCTGATGCCGCGCCTGCAGCACATTCGCGTCGCTGGCAAATACTTTGTTGACTTTGAGATACCGGTAAGTGGCTGAAGCTCTAGTTCTCTATTACACCTGTTAACCCTCTCTCTCTCTTTCTCTCTCTGTCTGTCTGTCTCTTTCGCTTTCGTGCAGACACATTTGACGGCGCTGTGGCGATACATGTATCACATGTATCAGCTGGACGCATTCACACAATCATGCCCAGCCGATCAGGACATTATAAATCACTATAAGCTGCAACAGGTGAGTGGTTGAATACTTTAACTAGGCACTGTAACTAAAGTATCCCATCTCTCTGTCTGTCTCTCCCTCTACAGAGTCTCAAAATGAAGAAGCACGAGGAGCTGGAGACGCCCACGTTTACCACATCCATTCCAATTGATATTTCGGAGTAAAGTTTTCTAGAGCCATGCACAGTTATTATTATTTTAAACTTTTATTATTTTTTTTTTTGACAACTTTACAACTATATCTACTATATATATCAGCTACTTTATATAGAGAACAACTTCTGAATGACAACCGTACGAAAAGGAAACAAAAACATAAATGTATATGTRTATATATGTACTTATGTAATATATACATGTATATAATTTATAATGGCAGCTAGACGACTTACATGGCCGGAGCATCAGACGCCTGCCCAACCACATGAACGCATTGCTGCAGGCCATTGGGCGTGGGATAAACGAGCGCTGGATCCGAGCAGCGATGGTGACGCTCTGCAAGCATAATGCAATTGTATTAGTAAATGCTATTTGTAGCGTCGTACCATATCAGTTCTTACTGTACTTCCGTTTGCGACGTCGATATTCATCATCGCTGCCCGTACTTTGGGCAGCTGTCGCTGCGGCCATCGTCAGCGTTGGCTTAAAGCTTTGAAAGGGTTTTTTGGATGCCATCGATTTGGTGGCACTGCAGCAGCCAGTGGGAGCCACACTGGAACCCGTTGACGTTGAGGTCATGCGTTGCAATTTCTCGGCCAACTGCGCCGGCAACGGCTGCTCATAGCCCACCTCCCCCTCCATAGGAATTATAACCGCTTCGGGCGTACGTCGTATGGGCAGCAAGCTGGTGCTACGTGATTTGAGGCGCTCCGGCAGCGAATCCCGTCCAGCCGAGGCTGTCGGCGTGTTGGCATAGCTGGGCAGCGCGTGCAACGACTGCGAATCGCTCTGGGCCAGCACTGTGCTCACCGTTACGTTGGCGCTATCTTCGGATGTGTTTTGTCGCGAGAAATATCGCGCATAGGCAGCGGCAGCTCCATCGAAATCGCTGCCGCTTTCAGTGCAGGACAGCTGCTTGGGCAGAGGACGTTTGCGTTGCAGCTGGGCTTGGGGCTGGGCTGGAGGCTGTGGCACGCGCAGCGCCTCGATTTGCACCGCCACATGGGGTGGCGGCGGAGGCGGCTGCCTGGCCAGGCTGGAGGGAACATGAACATGAATGCGCTGGAAGAAGAGAGACATTAATAAAGATTTACTATAGAAACTAGAAGCCAAGTGGAGCAACTCACCGCTTGCTGTGGCATAGGCAGCGGCATAGTGCGCACCATGCTGCGCGGAAAGACGGGACTGCATTGGGCGCTTATGGATTTGGCCTCCAGGATGCGCAATCTCTTAGCCAAACGCGCACGCTCCCGCGTATCCGCATCACCATGGGCCAAGGCAATGATTTCAGCGCCTCCAAAACTGACCGTGCACCGTGAACTGGAGTAGGACAGACTCTCCAAGCTGCCATGCAGCGAGCCAGTGAAACTATCATCCGCCATCGTCGAGCTGTGCTGGCCAATCACAGTTGCAGTAGCCGTCGCTGTGGCTGTTGCTGTTGCTGTGGCTGTCGCTGAGGTATTGTCGTAGCAGGAGGCAACTGGAGTTAGATACTCGGCTTCGCCATTGGTCGCGGTGCTCATGGAATGTCTTGGATCAGGCACTGCCAAGGCTTGCTCATGGGAGCTACTGCTGCTGGCGCTGTTGCTGCTGCTTTCATGCTCTCCCGCCGGCGGCTTGGCGGGCGTATGCGTTTGCGCCTGCACCAGCAGGCTGTGGCTGTGACGCGCCGCCTGGCGGCCGCCCGATGAGTTGCTCAACGTGCTGGCCACGCTATCCTCCAGCTCCAATTGCAATGGCAGTGAACCGGTCGCCAATTCTATGTCAGCCGGCCTATGGCTAGGTGCAGTCTTGCCTTGAGTCAGGCTTTTCTCAGGCAGTTGGTTTTCTTTCTCTATCTCCTTCTCCTTCTCCCCCTTCTCTTTCTCCTTCTCCACCTCCACTTCCTCCTCCTCGGACCCCTCCTTGCTGGCGCGTCGTGGTCCGAAGAGCTTGCGCGGCAGCAGAATGCGCCCAATTGACTTACGCTTCTTGCGCTTCGCCCGCTTATGCTCCTCATAGTCACGCTTGAGCGCCTGCATCTTGTGCTCCACGAGCGTGCTGAATACCGCCTCGTAGGTGAGCGCACGCTGCAGATCCAGCAGTATATCATTTGTGGACACCGCTTTGTCCAGCTTGTTGTTGAGCAGCTGCAGCGAATCGCCAGCTCTGCCGCTGCCGCTGCCCCCGCCACTGTTGCTATCGTCCGCATCGGCCATGTTGTCCACTTGGAGATCTCTGCCTAAGGTGTTGCTCCCTGTTGCCGCTGCTGCTGCTACTGCTGTAGTAGTTCTTCTTGTTGTTGTTTGGTTTGTGATTGTTGTTTACGACTATTTGCATTATTGTCGGCCTGGCTGCCGTTGATCCTGGTCCACGTCCTCGTCCTGCTTGTCATGTGCTTGCCACAGCGCACGCTGTGTTGTTGCTGTTGTTGTTGGCGCTGATACGTCGCATATTTTTGTGTGCGCCTCAATTGCCACTCAATGAATCTCTCCGGCAATCTCTCGTTTGAGCGCTCGCAACGACTTCAAGTGGTGCTCCAAGTGCCGCTTATATCCAAATGGTGCACACCTGCAATGGGAGACAATAAAAAAATATTAGACTACGCGACCACCGATGGCAAGACGGTTCAATAGCCCATAGACGATGAGACAAGGCCGCACACCTGCCACCTCCCCTCCCCTTCCCCATTTTGGCCCTCACTCTGTCCCACTTCAAGCAGCTAGCGAGGACACGCTTCCACAGTTTGCCAATAGTTTTGCACATTTTTGTGATTCAAATTCTGATTCGCTGCCTTTTTTATTCATGAGTGCTGCTTCCTACTTGTTGCACGCACACACATACACACGCAAACACATACATAATTTCATGCGCACAGGTGCGCCTAACCTTGGTTAAAAAGTTCATTTTTTCTTCACAAAATCATAAAAGTCCGCCATATTAAAAAGTTGTTTCTTATTGCAACGGTAAAATTTGCATTATGCTAACAGCGCTTGCAGCACTGGCCATAAATGATCTTTATCTTCATGTGCATTCCTTATGCATTAGGTAAGCAACATATTTACAAATATTCAATCAGAAAATTCGTTGGAAATGGGCATTGAATTAACTAGGTTGTGTTTAGACACAATTGATATTATTTGTTTATTGTTTATAATAATAGACTTGCATTTTGCAGCACTATTTGCCTAATAACAGCACCAGCTGAGTTTAGCAGCAAACAAATGATATTTAAATGAACTTTAGTTTGTAAAATACCAAAAGACGTTTACGATGTTTACCTTTTAACAGCTCCAGCTGAGCAAAATAACAAATTATTCAAATTGTTTGCAGAATTTGAAATGTCATTTGCACTGCTTGATCGCAGCTAAATGGACTCCTAACACCACCAGCTGAGCTTAACAGAAAATAAATCTCCAAATAATCAATGAAGAACTAATGCGAACTACCAGCGCTAGGAGAGAATCCCTAATGATGCTTTGCAATGGCGCTTGCACAGGACTAGCTGAGCTTAGCGGCCATAAATCAAAATTAAATGATCAACGAACTGCTTCCTGTGAACTTCTTCCCCAATGACTTACTGCAAAAGTTATATTTGATGTTGGCAACTCTTCGCCATTTGGGAACTCCTCGCTTACTGCACTGTGGCACTGTGGCACTGTGGCACAGGGACACTGTGCTCTGGGCCATTGGGCGTGTGCCAGCGACAGCTATCCCCACGGCCGTTGCGCTTTCTCCTGCTACGCTTTATTCTTCTACGGTTGCTGTCGTTGCCAGCAAATAAAAATATACAATGGAAATGGATATTGTTTTCATTTCCGCAGTCACAATCGCTGCGCTCTACTGTGCATGTTGACGGCGACATTTGAAATATGCAAAGCACACAGACCAATACACACGCACACACACACAGAGATAAATAGCGGAACATATGTATTAGTGCATGTTCGTAGGCCTGCCACTGGCAGCGAGATGCAAATGAGGCAGAAAAAAGGTCACAACAATGGCGCCAACAACCGTAATAGAAACAACAACAACAACAAAAGGAACACGAACAAAAAGTGATTAAATGCAAAAACATGCCAAAGGCAGCAGCCCTGAAGAAAGTTGCGCATTTGGGGGACAGCCAAGCCACAGGCCTGGCTTAGTCGCATGCATTTAAATATGCCATGCGGCAGGCGCTAATTAAACGATACGGCCGGATAATGGAAAAAGTTGAATGCATAAATTTGCACTTTCGCATAGGAAAAGTTAACCGTTACTAAGTAATCGTCGACGACCAGCCATGCTGCCTAAGCATCTTATCTGCCCGCCTCTCAGCAGCAGAATACAATATCAAACAAGCCAAGCGTGCAAACAAAACCAAAGAGAGACAGGAGAGAGAGAGTGGGCAGCGAGGTGCGAATGCGATTGAGAGTGCGAGTGTGTGGGTGCGAGTGTGAGAGCAAGAGCTAGAGCAAGAGCGTACGCATAAATCTAAACAAAACCACATGCCTTAACTTGGCAGGGCCGCTGCTGCTGGCGTCGCAGCCTGTCCAAAAATAAATCATTCGAGGACATAAAGAGAAGGCAAGCAAAATAATAACTGTTGCTGCGGCGGCCACAAATGTAAATAACAGACGCAGCAGCAGAAACAGCCGCAGTCGCAGCAACAACAGCAGCAGCGCAGCGCTGCTCAACAGTTGAACCAGAGAGAGCACGTCCTGTTGCTCAGTTAGCTCGCTCTCAATTTTATGCTCTCGCTCACTAGCTGTTAAAGCGCTGTTAACAACCTGCTTGTTGCTGTCCATGTGAAAGAGGGTGTGTGTCTGTGTGTGTGTGTGCTCGTGGTTTTGTGTGGGCGGACTTAAACGGCAAAATGGTGAACGTACAACTGTGTTTGTGTGTCTGTGTGTGTTTGTGTTTTTGTCAACAGAACTTTTTGGACCCAAACGCTTGGTCGTTTTTTTCCATTAAATTTCATTTGATTGTATTTGCGAGCGAGTTACTTTCACTTTCAGATGTCAATGACAAGCATTAATAATGCTTAATTAG